AGTTAAAAATAGTCCTTTTTTTTTTCCGAATAAAACAGAAAAGGAATAAAAAATGAGGCATGCATACCAATCAGCGTGTTTCATAACTACGTCTCTGTGACAAAGCCAAATCCCCGTAAAGCTGCCGTTTGCTTTTAATCTGTTTTGGCAACTGCGAATTTCTGAGTTTGCTGAACTCGAGATTATATCAACTTTTCAGTGTTCTTTCTTTACAGATTTCTGCCATTCTTCTGCTAATTCTAAGTAAATAATAACAAAAGCAAGACTTTTTTTTTTTTTTTTTTTTTTACTGGAGAAGGATGGAGGATTATGCAAACGCGTAAAAAAGGCGTCTTCTGGCAGCCTTTTAAGTAGCACGAAAATGTATCCTGGCACTCGGTTGTTGTGCTAAAAGAAGTATTACTCCTTGTAGTTCCCATTCGATTCAATGCAAATTTTCTTACTGACTTTATTTATCAGGTTGGGGAACCGTCATCATTTAAAAAAAAAAAAAAAAAAAAAGAAAAAAAAGAAAAAGGTAGGAATCTAGTACTTTCCAATTTACTCTTATCAGCTCGAAGCATTCCCAATTACGGCAAAGCGTTTAGCTTAAGCTTCTTTATTATTCTCCCTGCACTGTGGTATTTTCTGGTATACATCTGCTGGGGTGGGTCTCGATGAAAATATGACACAAAAACTACAAATTATTTTCCTGCCAGGGTGACGTAAACGATCATGCCTAGCACGGTTCACGTGACAAGCGAAACCTCGGGATTATGAAGCTCCCGCTCCTTCCTAAACCCGGCGCGGGGGCTCCCGGCGGCTGGGGGCGGTGTGGGGGCGTCCCGCCCGGCCCGGGCCCCGCACCGCACCCGGGCAGCCTCCGAGGGCTCCGTGCGGTAGCGCAGTGACCACCCGTACACGTCCTCTCTGTCTGAAAGTTCCCGCGGGAGAAATGGCCACCTCACTGTGGCTGGCCGGGGAGGGAAAGGCGACCAGCCTGCTCCCCCAGGTGCCGAATAGGCTGAGGCAGCGGCCTTCGGGGAGTGCTGGGCACCGAGGCACGCAGCCACGCCGGAGCTTTTCTGATCTAAACAACACGGCGTTTCTCAGCTGGCCTCAGGGCTTTTCGGTTTTCCCTTTTTTTGAAGGGAAGCCACTTGCACTCCTGTCCAAAAACTTTGGGAGTGGCGAGAGCACCCTCCGTCCGAGCAGGCAGCCCGCAGCCCCTCCAGCAGTCGGCATGCAGCTCCCAGGCCGCCCCCGCCTTCGGCAGCCGCAGGGGAGACAGGAGCCGAGAGCTTCATCCCATCCCCGGCAAACGCTCTGGGCGCGGTGGAGAAAGACGGAACGGTGCTGACCCCGCGGGGCTTCATGACCCCGCTCCCGGTATAACCCTCAGCTGTTTGGGGAGGGAAGCGTCACAATTAGCGTTGCTGGAGGGGAGAGGTGGGAAATTCGAATAAGCAGATGAGGAAAAAAAAAAAAACCCAGTTGTGCGACTTGAGTCAGCTCTAGAGATGCTGAGGCTTCCAAAGGAGGAAAACTGCCAACCAGATAACTACTGGGAATTATCACTCTCCGGAGGATAATCAGAATTGTAAGCGCACTCCGGAGGATGCTGTTGGCTTTCTGGCCGCATTAAAGGCGGGCAGCCTCCACCTCTCCGCCCCAGCCGAGCGGAGCCGCGGGCCGGGCGCGGGGACGGCGCCGCCCGCCGCCCACAGAGGGCGCTGCGAGCCTGCCCAAAGCGCGGCCCGCCG